TCTGTCACTTCAGTTGGGTCTTCGTTATTCCCAATAACACACATTACCCACCCAGATTTCTCCTCTGGCTCCCATTTCTCCATCTGACAGCTCGGGCCCCACAGCGAACGCACACACACTGCTGAAAAGTGTATCCTATCTGTTTCGCGCACACGCTGGATTTTATTATTTGCGAGATGTTTTTGATTCATCATGTCAGTGAGCAGGTTCATTTGTCTTAATGGAGCTGACAGATGTGTGTATCTGTATACACCACAGAGAAACAAGGAGATGAGAGATAGATGGTTGTGTGAGAGTGTGTGTGTTCGCAGCCAGACATCTGGTTCTCCGCTGTCACGCTCACACAGAAGTTTCTCAGTAGAGAATCCAAACAGACGCCTCTTCATTTACAGAAAGAGAAACATGTTTAAATTCTGTCAAAATTGTCCTTCCAATGCAGCTCATCTCTCTTAGTTCACAGATGGGCTTGTATAAAATATATACATCTCTGATCATCTCTCTGTCTGTCTTATTCACAACTGTAGATCCTTCAGAAGACTTGCCTGTAAAAAGCTCCCTGCCATGATGCAAGGCTGTTGCTATGCGGTGCATAGGGCATTCTGGGTGGTTGCTAGGTGGTTACTTACTAGAACAAGTTAAAAGAGTTCATCTTCAAGTCTCTGTGATATTCTGGTCTCTATATGCCTTCAATATAAGGCTGTGGGGTTTAGTTTGCTCTTTTTAATGTTTTAAGGTGAAATATTACAATTTTCAGTTCTTTTTTTTTTTAGAAAAAAAGAACACTTTCCCTCAAGAAGTTGCACACTTTTAAGTGTCAGAATTATAAATAAGCTGCACTACACATGCATTTTCATGTAGACATACACTAGCATGTCTACGTGACTGTTTTATATTTGAATATATTGTAAAATGTAATTTATTTCTGTGATCAAAGCTGAATTTTCACCATCATTCCTCCAGTCTTCAGTGTCACATGATCTTCAGAAATCATTCTAATATGCTGATTTACTGCTCAAGAAACATTTATGATTATTATCAATGTTGAAAACAGTTGTGCTGCTTCATATTTTTGTGGAAACCGTGATTCTTTTTCTTTTTCAGGATTCTTTGATGAATAGAATCAGCATTTAATTCAAATAGAATTCTTCTGTAATGTTTTAAATGTCTTTACTGTCACTTAATAAAAGTATTATTTTTTTGTCAAAAACACTTACGAAATCTTTTGAACTATAGTGTGTTTGTTTAAGTTTTGCATTTGGTTTTGCACATGTTGCAAATACACCGGCTCCTTTACTTTGTCATGTAAACATGTTAAGTGGCTAATTTTTAATCCAGCTTTTTCATTGGATGAATGTGATTGGCACGTGCTGCACTGCATTAGCAGCTCAGTGTGACGGTTTGAAACCAGACACATCATATCAGTTTCACAGTCCGTCTTTAAGCACGTTCTCTTTGATGTATGTCAGGAGGATGTTGACTTAGGTTTCTTATCGTTTGATTTTAATGGCATATTTGTTTTTTTTTTTAATATTCCTGTGTCATCAACATATAGCCACATCAAAACCCTTGTGGCTTACAGCGTGTTTTGACAACCTTTCGCAGTGATGAATGATCCGCTTTCTTAATTTGAAGTTGAAGGAAGTTGCTCGATGGTGAATCATCTCAAACTTATTTTCATCTTTTGATTGGGTGTAGGCGTGTCTTTATTTACTGCTTTGTTACAAATGTTTAGGTATATATATATATATATATATATATATATATATATATATATATATATATATATCTAGTTGTATATAAGACCATTACAATTCTTACAATTATATTTATTAAATTTAGAATTAAAAATAAATTGTAAATTTAAAAAAATAAATGTGTATATATATATATGGAAATCTAGCTGTATATATGACCTTGTAAACCTATACAGTGGCCTCAGAAACTATTAGCACTATGAACAACACGCATTTAAAAATGTCTGGATGAATGTCAAAGCATTTGATGATTGGGAAATCTAGCTGTATATATGACCTTGTAAACCTATACAGTGGCCTCAGAAACTATTAGCACTATGAACAACACACATTTAAAAATGTCTGGATGAATGTCAAAGCATTTGATGATTGAACGTCAGATCAGGTGTCTGTATCAAATACTGCAGGACTAACATCACTTTTCTTCATTATTTTTGTTCAGTGTGTTTGAATCAGCTGGTGTTTTGGTGATTTTTAATCAATATATGAAGTCAGTTCTCCTCAAGTTCTCACAGGTGTCCTAACAGAGGAAACCCAGATGATGAGAATCACATTAAATATCAGCATGATCCACCAATGCTTCACAAGTCTTGATTTTCCAATCCAAAATGTAGACATTGGCACAACTAGTGATGTGAGTTTGGTGCAGAACTATCTGTTTGTCATTATTTTTGCGATTTTATTAAGTGATGTTAGCGTTGTTGTATATGCTTGTAGTTTATAATTGAAGAGTGTGATCAATCACAGAGTGTTTTAAATCTTCTGCTAACCTTTATGTCACTCAGTGAAGCTGCCAAACTGAGCAGACTGTGTCAGTGCACACAACAGCTTGCAGCCTTCGGCAATGGCGGGTTATTCATAGCAACAGAGTGCTGTAAATTTGATATTTAAGGCTGCAGGTGAAACAATCTCTCTAGGTCAGCTCTGAATTGTGTTGCTACTTTCATCACATCCTGTTGTTTAATCATTTTATAGCAGCCGCCTCTAAACGTGTGCCGTTTCCGTGCTGCATGTTTATACATGTGGTCAAGGAAACCCTCAGATCCATGTGATTAATGATGATATAATGTCAATTTAGATGGAATGCTTTATTAGAATAGACCCAAATTCTGTTCTGAGTGATCTCCACAGCATTGCTAGGTGTACTGTGTAGTTGCTAGTATTGTTGGGCGTAACACATTACAAGTAATGCGAGTTACGTAATCAGTTTGCTTTTTTCGAGTAACTAGAAAAGTAGTGCATTACTTTTTATTTACAAGAAAATATGAGTTACTTTTTAAAATAAGTAAGGCCTTTTACTTTCTTTTCACATTTATTGACTGACAGCTCTCCTGTCCTCATGTTGAGAGAAATCAGGAGTGAGTGCAGAGGCGCTGTGTGAATATGGTGTTACTGTAGATCTAGACTAAATGTGAACATGCATTCACTCATCTCACTTGCACAAAAACAGATTCAGTATTCCTAGAAATTAAGAACAGTGAAATGCAAACTCAGAATATGGCGCAAACCTGCAATAATTAAATGTTAACACAAAAATAATGTATGTGTTTAATCCCAGTATTTTTGCTGCTGACCGCCAATGATCCAATTCAACAATAAGCAAACATGACTTTAAATAAACATGACATTTGTTTTGTTTTTTGAACTTTCTTCTCTTTCGTCCTATTCTTCATGCAATCCAGAATGGCAGAACAGCTGAATGGTTTGTTTGAATATTAAATGTTAACACAAAAATAATGTATGTGTTTAATCCCAGTATCTTTGCTGCTGACCGCCAATGATCCAATTCAACAATAAGCAAACATGACTTTAAATAAACATGACATTTGTTTTGTTTTTTGAACTTTCTTCTCTTTCGTCCTATTCTTCATGCAATCCAGAATGGCAGAACAGCTGAATGGTTTGTTTGAATTTTTTAAATTTACATTTCCTTCAGCCTGAGGCTTATTCATTTCACTTTTGGTGTGAAAGGGCTTTTACATTTGCCAAAAAATAGAACTTTTCTGTATTGAAAACGAGCAAGCAGCTCAGCCCAGACAAGAAAAAATAACGCAAAAGTAACGTAATGCATTACTTTCCATAAAAAGTAACTAAGTAACGCTATTAGTTACTTTTTTAGGGAGTAACGCAATATTGTAATGCATTACTTTTAAAAGTAACTTTCCGCAAAACTGGTTGCCAAGGTGTTCTGTGTGGTTGCTAGGTGAAAATTGTGCTGTTGCTTAGTAAATTAGTTTTTGGGGATCCCAGCATGCCTGAAAGGGATGGGAGAGTGTCTGGGCTGAAATTTTAGGGAAAAGAACATGTAAAAAATGAAGAAAAAAGATTGCTTTGGACCAATATTTAATATGAAAATCATATAAATAGTTATTTTGAATCTCTAATAATAATAATTTTTCAGGGGGGGGGGGGTAGAGCTCCTGAGGGAAATTTTAGAGAAAAAATTTTTTTAATTACATTTTACTTTAGTAAAATTACAATATAAATGCCAATTATTTCATTTTTAAATGTTTTCTTTATAGTACACACTATTGTTTTAAAAAAAGGTATAAATGAGTCTTAAAATTGCCTTCATATTATATAGAGGTTGTCCTTTGCAAAGGGATTATCATTATTGATCATATATTGGCTTAGAAAAGTAAAAGCACACCTCTGCTCATTAGGTTACATAATTTGATGAATGTCCATAGCAAAATTGTGAAAAATTTTATATGAGTATATAGTCTTGGAAGACTAAATATTTATGACATTTCATGGCTTTACTAGCAAAATGCATGATAAAGGAAAGACAGGGCTTGCTGAGTCATGAAACCACAGTCAGATCATATCTGATTGATATTTGCACATCTTCACATCTCTTTACCCATGATGCTTTCAGCAGAGGGAATTTAGACAGAAAACAATTAAATAACTTTCATTTTGTGACATATTAAAGAAATTGAAATTGTCTCATTATTCATCTGTCAGATATGCTGCTATGCTCTCCCCATAAAATGCAAAAAGCAGAAATTCTGAAGAGCCTTTACACATCTTATTTCTGTAGCAGAGCTGATCTTCAGTGATCTTTCCACCAAAGCTTTGAAATCATGTTCAGAAATGCATTGCTGAAAATAATGGGAGATTTTCATTTGTTGGTGACTGTTTCTTTAAGAGTCACTAGTTTAGTGCCATTATATTTGCATGCATATCAAATTATACATCTTTTCCTTTCTAGATGGCAAAGGGTGGAGAAGTCTGGAGACCTGCATGGCCACACCTGCTCGATGTCACCTGAGAAACTGGAAGGTGAGCATTCTTCATATCGTTTGGGTTATCAGCTACTAAATAAACACAAGCTTGATGCTGCCTGACCTGACACCTGTTTGGTCTCGGCTTGCCTGTACTACACTACCAAATGTGTCAGAAGCGTGTCCGTTTGGACTTGTTTGTGTGTCAGGACGCTTGATTTTCACTCCGGCTCATTGGATCTTTCAGCCAGACACTCCACAGACATTCATTCATTAAAGTCATCCTGAAATATTTACTCATGGGGATCTACGGCGGTGTTGAGTGTTGCTTAAGTAATTAAAGAGGCTGTAGTGTTGGCTGTGTAGGATCAATGACTGGAGGTCTGCTGTAGTTCAGGGTTGGGGGTTGGAAGCGTATACATGTGAATGGGCCGATCGGACATCACGGATCGTTTTACTCTGTCAGGGTTTATATAACACAGACGAGTAATGGGCAGGCCGTGACAGCACACTAGGTTAACCCTGAGGATTCATGTCATTGTATTTCCTACTAGCGTGTGTTATTGGCTCTTTCTTTGCAATCATAACAACAACTTCAGTTCAGTACATGCTGTATCAGTGATTATGACATCTTTTGGTTCTCTTGCAGGTGATGCTGCTTGTGTTTGTATGTCTTCTGGGTCTCGTTGATGGACATTTCCTTCAGGAGGAGAAAGAAGAACCCCGTCCTAGCAAGCTGAGAGCCTCTTCAACCTCTGCAGAACATCCAGGACCGCAGAAAGCTCTAGATGAGTGGCAGAGCAGAGCACCATGGGCACGACTGCATGGTCAGTACATCCCTGACACTGTATAGCAAACCGGGGCTAGTTGTCACACATTCTTCTTCAGTGAATGATCAATGAGTGATTGAATTCTAAGAGGTTAAAGCTGCTATATATATATATATATATATATATATATCATATTTTTTACACATTTTTTCTAATTTTTTTTATACCTGTTGTCCCCAACCTCAGATCTGTCTTGTCAGATATTACAAAATATGATGATACTAATAAAAAAAAATATATTAAAAAAAATAAATAAATATATGCATTTAAAATAAATGTATGCATTTAGCTTTTATCCAAAGCAAAAGAGGGGGGAAAATTTCATCAGAGTGCCAACAATATTCGTAATATACAATGGCAGGTCTATTTGACAACTAGGTTAGGAAGCAAGTTAGAAAAGAGGAGAAATGCAGAGAAAAAAAAAAGTTTTTTCATATAGCAATTTATACAATACAGATAGTTTCAAAGCAGATTAATGTTGATAAACAGGAAAAAAAACTGTGTTGATGGAATAAATTTCATCACTTATGAAACAAATTCAATTTCGGCTGTAATGCAGCTTTATGTAATGTTAAAGCTTTATGTTTATGCAATGCAATGCAGTTTATTTAATTTAGTGCAAAGTTAATGTGATTATCCAGCTCAGTTCAGTTCAAATTTTGTTCTCATCTGATAGTGTCAGTCCAATTAAACTGATAATATTACTATATTAATTGTCTTTAAAACCCCAGAACAAAATTCACAGAAATTATCCTAATTTAAAACCGCTTTAAAGTACCAAATTCAACAAAACACTGTTAGAGAAAACAAACATGTAATTGCACTTTTGACTCACAGTCTTAGTTATTGATATATAACTCCTTTGACAACTTCCCCATTTCAACTACACTTAACTTTAGTTTACAAGCCTCATCCAGCTTTGACGTTATTGCAAAGCATGTAATTAAAATGGGAGACATTTTATGTCTGTACCTACAGTAAAATTCACCCATCAACAACACTTGGTGATAGACGTGAGCAATTTCAAAATGATATGTTGTCACAAAGTGTGTACCAAAGGCTGTGTATCAAGTCATATTGCTAATTCTTTAGCAGACAGAAGCTCACAGATCTTCACTGAGATGTTTCAGATGTGAAGGTCTCAATAAAGGTCTCAGTTACTGTGTTTCATTAACTATCAACATTGTCCCGTAGGAGAAATAGAAATATTAACAAATAAGTCAATAGGTGACATACAGTAAGTGTATAAAGCTATAAAATGTGGATAGTGGATCAGATCATTTGGAAATTGGATGAGAAATGTTTATATTGAAATCTCTAACTTTACATTGCAGGTTTGACCACTAAAACAGAAGTCTTATTATTATTTTAAAAAAATTCTCAACTTAATCTTATTTGTGGGTAGGAAAAACAATTGAGATAAACAAAGGAGATTTCATTTGTGTGTTTAGGTTGGAGGAATGGAAGTTGAAACCAGTTCAGTCCGAGAAGACTTTATCTGTTTTCTGTCTTCTCAGGCTTCTTACTTAAGTTATTATTACATTTTCTGTCTAAACTGTCAGAGCTTTGAATCCTTTGGGAATGATGCTTTACACTTGCTGTAACCTCAGACACTTCACAAAGACCTAATGGCTGAATCTCACGAAACCTGTCAAAAACATGTCCAGGTCATATTTAACCCCTAATGAAAAAAAAGAAAGAAAAAGAAGTATATATACTGTATATATACTTTTATACGTACACAATAAGAGACAGCTAAACATTGTTTTCACATTTTTTATTTACATTTTTTTTATTTTTAATGTGTATTTTTTAACTTATTTTTTTTGCATACAGAAGGTTTAAGACCTCTGAGATGGAACAGGCCAAAACCAGCATTTGATGTGTTTAAAACAACCTAGTTTTCATGCTATGTTAATTATAAATGTATCACAATCTTGCCTCCTTACTCTTACACTTGTACATTTTATTAAATATTTTCTGCTCAACTGGACTAGGTGTAGGTCAGTGTAGTTAGTTAGTTCAGTGTTGGCAGATCAAATCCTGCTTTAAATACTGATTTTATGGTTTAGAATGGTTTAGGTTAAGTCTAACCTGCATATAACATTTATATAACATTGCATATATGTATAACATTTTATTACAATAGTTTGAAATCAGTAAAAAACAGTAAAGAAATCTTAGAATCATTTAGAAGCATTACAGTAATGAGAAATTGGGGGTTAATGTTCTTAAATGTGATTACAAGGAATGTCACAATGAAATATAAATAGGACTCGCTTTCTTTATGCAAAATATGATTTCTTCTTTTCTTTTGATTTTAGGGTGAAATGTGACCTGTGATGTTTATGTGACATTCGTCCTTCAACACTTTTTCTGTATTTATGGGGAACATCTTTGTTGAAATTTAAGACGATGTTCTTCTCATCCTGTGATTCTGTGTTATGTCACAGTGACACATTGCTTCGAGGCAAATTCCTGGCAAATTATTCAATTGTTTTGCTATTTTCATTATGTTCAGTGGAGATAAAATATCTGTGCACATAATAATGTAGAAACACAAGTGGAATGCAAACTTACCATGAGTATCTCTTGTGAGGACCCATAAAGACTGTTTTCTCTGTAGTCAGCTCTAAGGCTCTTCTGACATATAATGCCGGCATGTCCATGTACTTTGTTTTGTGCAGTATGATAAACATGATCAGCATTGGTTGAGCCACAAGCTGACATGTTGGGCAAACAAACAGAGGTGTGTTTTTACAGAGCTACAGCCTCAGTGTTTACACTCTTCAGGAAGTCAACCGTGATATTGACCATTTTGCTGCCGCTGAATTAGACCCCGTTCTCAAAAACACAGCCATCAGTGGATGCTGACTGGCCATTAAAATACACAACACAGCTAAAATGCACAATATATTTACAGATTAGTGCTGGAGGTCTGCAAAGAAGATACATAAAACACTGTTTTACAATGTTTTTAAAAGATGTCTTTTCTGCTCACCAAATTATATTCCAAGTGTTCTGAAATTGTCATAACAGAACAGGAACAGAAATGCATTGAAAATATTGCCCTCCACTGTAGAGGCCAAATCCATTAGTTGCTGTTATAGACATGTACACTAAAAAATAAACATACATTTTTTTAGGATTTACTTTGAAACATTTTTCACTAGGGAATTTCCTAAAGTTCAAATTTCAATAGTTACAAAGAATCGGCAAATAACACATTGAATAAAACATTAAACAAGCATTTTCTTGTAAAACGTACTCCTGTAATCTTTGTTTTATTTACAACTTTGAAAAAGAAGTTTGTACAGTGTAGCATTAGGTTTTATGTTGTCATGAACTGCAAGTTATTGCATTATATTCCAAGTGTTCTGAAATTGTCATAACAGAACAGGAACAGAAATGCAATGAAAATATTGCCCTCCACTGTAGAGGCCAAATCCATTAGTTGCTGTTATAGACATGTACACTAAAAAATAAACATAAATTTTTTTAGGATTTACTTTGAAACATTTTTCACTTCGAAATTGCTAGGGAATTTCCTAAAGTTCAAATTTCAATAGTTACACAGAATCGGCAAACAACACATTGAATGAAACATTAAACAAGCATTTTCTTGTAAAACGTACTCCCGTAATCTTTGTTTTATTTACAACTTTGAAAAATAAGTTTGTACAGTATAGCATTAGGTTTTATGTTGTCATGAACTGCGTGGTGACATGAAGGTAGGGGATCCAAATGCAGTAGTTTATTGAAGGAGTAATCCACAAATGTCATCCAAAGGCAGGCAAAGGTCATACATAAATAGGCAATCCAAAACAAGGACAGAGTAAGGGGTTGAGGTTGAGTAATCCAGAAAACAGGCAGAATAACAAGACCAGGAACCAAGATACTGGAGTATACAAGGCTTAGAATTGCAGTAGACACATTCAAAACTTAGCAAAGAATGACAGTAGCTATGTTTCCATCACTCTATTTTAATGCGCATTTTGAAGTGTCGCATGAGAAACGAGTGATAGAAACGCCAAATTTCGAATAAAAATCCCTTAATTCGCAAAAAGTTTTTACGCTCACTTGAGGTGGTTTTTGATTTGTGCAACAAAGGGTTGATGCGAGTAATGGGAGATGGAAATGCATTTGGCAAATAAATTCCTCCAAGCGTATCAAAAAAGTAATGTGACTTTGCGCTATGGGACGGCAAATCCCGACTAACCAGTGGACCGATCTCATTCCACAGCATCTGAAATGTTGTTATGGTCATTTGGAAATGCACGAGCAAAGTCTGTCATCAAAGTATTTCTGTATAATTGCCTCCCAGAAATGTCTTACACGATGTCTTAGCATCTACCTCCGAAAGCAATGACCGCATTCATTGTGTTTCGTCTGCTCGCTCTGAGGCGCAAGTAACTTATTATATATGAAAATTATTATATTCTCCTCCTTTTCTTAGTGATTTATAGTGCCAGTTTATCAGGAAGTGACGATTTTGTTCTCTTTGAACGATGCTTATTCACAAATGTTTTATGCGATATTCCAGTTTTGCGCACAAGTTAAATTCACAAATTTGGATGGCAACCCAGCTACTGAGAACCTGGCTTATATAGGGTGAGCTAACCATGCTAATGAGACACAGGTGCAAACAATGAGGGCTGATTAGCCCCGGGCAGAGGATTATGGGGAATGAAGTCCTTGATAGAGTGGCCGAAATCTGGGATGGAGTGCCCACTAGTGGACAACCAGGGCACTCCAGCTGGTGATCACGACGTCAATTAAGTCAAATATCATTGGCTCTCATTTGTATCTTGTGACCAAATTATATTTGCATTAAACATGATATGGCACATTTATTGGCTGTATGTGATTTGAGAATTACAGTGAAGGGCAGACTTTTAGCAAATAAATTACGTTTAATATTTTCAGATTTTTTTTTTTAATGGCCTACTAAAGCAATTAAACGAGGTAATCACCATCCTATATGGCTATAACGCACTATTGCGAGTGTGATATTGCTTTTCTGCAAGTAAATGTTTTGACAGACTGTAAATAGTGACGAAACGGCGTATATAAGTAAAGACAAACTTATAGTGTCTCAAAGACCCTCTTTTGTGTGAGACTACTTTTTATGCTAAAATGTCTATTAAATCTATAAACATAAAGTTATATCATTATAGGTCCCCATGCTTTGACCAAACAGACAAATTATATAATCAGTGTTGTTAGCTGAACCCTCACCACCAAACTTCTTGCTGCAGTTGGCTCATACAAAATAGCCTAAAAGTTGACTTTATTTCATTCTTGATGTAATGTCAACTTTTTCTACATTTAATAATCAATAAATCTTTAAAATAGAGTTTGCATTAAAAAAAAAGAATGTGAAACCAGAATAAAATAAGTCATTTGAGTTTGTAACGAAATTAGTAATGATGACAGAATATTTATGTTTGATCACGTTCATCATATCATATCATCAGCTCGTGTTTTCTGTCTCCTCAGATTCGTCCCTGGCCGAGGAAGGAGAGGGTCATCGGATCCGGTGGCAGCGTTCCTCTACAAACAGCTCCAGTTCACAGAAATCTCAGAGGAACCGTAAGGAACGGCGCAACCGCAAGCGAGGCCGGAGCAGCCAGGACTGCCGTTTGGAGAGAAAAGAGATGAAGGTGCGTGATCTGGGCCTCGGCTACGACTCGGACGAGATCGTGCTGTTTAAGTACTGCGCGGGGACGTGCATGAGCGCCCGTAAGAACTACGACCTGGCCCTGAAGGTGCTGACAGATAACGGCAGTATTCCAAGCCGCAAGGTGAGCACTCACCCCTGCTGCAGACCCACACGCTTCGAGACCATCTCTTTCATGGACGCCCAGACGAGTTGGCAGACCATCAAATGGCTTTCAGCAGCCAACTGCAGCTGTGTGGGATGAGAGAAGCCCAGGAGATGCAGCCGGTAAAATCAATCCAAAGCTCCGGTATAGAAAGCGAGGAAATTCCAGTGCAAGGAATCGGATGCAGCGCTCCTGATGATGCACTACAAACCCAGCGAATCTGCTACCATCAGCACGGGAGCCACAGGAATACAGGACGTCCTGCAGGGAGACAGTCGGAAACCGTAGGGATTTGCATCATGTGACATCAGAGAGCTAAAAACTGTTCCTGTGAAGCGAGTCGTCAGATTCCTGCTCCAGACTGCATGGAAAGTTTGTGAAAAGTAACTTGAAGGCCTACATTTCACATGATCTGCCTCTAGGCATTATGAGATTGAGAAACTGGAGATGTTTTAAGAACGTGGATACCATGAAGTTTCATTATAACAGAACAGAAGGTGCTTTTAATTCACTTATCAGCTTAGCATGTGTGTTTAATATACACATACTTTCCTTAAGCCATGTGCACATTACAAGACTGAAGCACGTCACCTTTTTATTCTTGTGTGTAGTCTACAACAAAAAGTTCCAGGTGTTTTGCAGACACAGGCCAAACATTTGTTCATGCAGCGGAGTTTGCAGGCCGGCTCTGAATGCTAAGTGGTGGATTTCTGCATCAGCTCTTTATAATGATGAAATCGTGCTCGGTTACACTGCATGTCTGGACATATGCCCAGTTATAACACTCTCTTCCATCATCTGATCATCATTAGATTAATTACTGCTGCCATGATCGCTAAAAAATGTACACAAACTATTTTTAACTCTTTTCAACTCTTTTCACTTTGAAACAAAATTCCGCCTGCTTTCCATAAGCAGTGCACGTGTTGAATTTTGTGAATAATGCTGTAATGTCTATAATAGGCCTGTTTTACATAGAAATTAATCATTCTTGGATTTAAAAGAATGTCAATGACCCAATTTACTCTATTGTTCAAAAGTTTGGGGTCAGTATGATATTAATACCATTATTCAGCAACAATTGACTGAAAGTGAGAGTAAAAACATTTATAATGCTACAAAAGATTTATATTTCATATAAATGTTCTTTTGAACTTTCTATTCATCAACAAAATCCTGAAATAAACATTCTGGTTTCCACAAAAAAATTGAAGCAGCACAATTGTAACCCTGGAGCACAAAAGCAGTGTTAAGTCGCTGGGGTATATTTGCAGCAATAGCCAAAAATACATTGTATGGGTCAAAATTATCGATTTTTCTTTTATGCTAAAAATCATTAGGATATTAAGTAAAGATCATGTTTCATGAAGATATTTAGTAAATTTCCTACCGTAAATATATCAAAACTTCATTTTTGATTAGTAATATGCATTGCTAAGAACTTCATTTGAACAACTTTAAAGATGATTTTCTCAATATTTAGATTTTTTGGCACCCTCAGATTCCAGATATTCAAATAGATGTATCTCGGCCAAATATTGTCCTATCATAACAAAACATACATCAACGGAAAGCTTATTATTTATTCAACTCATGGCCATTATGACTGGTTTTGTGGTCCAGGGTCACAATTGTTTTCAGCAATGATATTAATACGTTTCTTGAGCGGCAAATCGGCATATTTTCATGATTTCTGAAGGATCATGTGACGCTGAAGACTGGAGCAATGATGCTGTACCAGCGCAGATTAAACAAGACTGTAGGTCGTTAATGAATAATATGCAGGTTTTTGCGTGCAAAACTGTTTAGTGAGTTCATCCCCCGTGAGTGTTTAAATGGCTCAGGTTGACTTGTGACCGTCTTGTAATGTGCTCTTGGCGTTACACACTTTCACAAACACAACCGACAGCTAACCAGTTATCCTGATGCCATATTCCATAACCTCTGCTATCAAGAAATACCTCTTTAAATTCAAACTTCTTTGATCAACATTGTTATTTTGTTTCACCGCTCGAGTGGACATCTGATTATGGACTGGATCTTTGTCAGGGTACGTGACATATTTGATTTGTCAGTTAAATGAAAAGGTGTCCTGGCTAAAGTTCGCAGCACACAGCACTGTACCGGTTTACCAAAATGTATTTTAATTGAGACATTGTCACATTTCATTTTTTTGTTCTATGTTTTTGGGTGTTGACTTATTGTTAGGTGGATGAAATACCAAAGCAATAGATACATAAATAGCAGATGACCTCAGGTAGGGACAGTGAGCAGTAGAAATGCAATCTGTGGTTTACACCTCTGTAATCGACCGTCACGTTCTTCTGTTCCATTTCTCACACTTACTGTATTAATCTCATGGTTTACTTTACTCGTATATCACTTGTAATGTTCTCAAAGTCACTATAACTACCTGTGAACTTATTCTCAGTTTCACGCTAAATTCAATAGAAATAAACAGGAAATTTGACCAATTGTTTAAGCCAATTAAGTCAATATTTTGACATTTTCATGACATTTTTATTTTCATTTCATCAATTCAATACATTTCCTCCAAAATTCACATTCTCAATAATGTAATGTGAAAAATGAATGATGCATAACTTTTACATTGTATTTATGCATTATGGTTCAGCAGTATTTGTTGTACATGCTTTTTTACTGTAGTCACAGTAATGAAAACCCTAATCAATTTGTTTTTGCATTATTTTATTTTTATTTTTAAATGTGACCAGTCATGCGATTCATCCTCTTTTTTTGGCATTTTATGACTAAGGGAATTTCAAATCACAAATTCCATTTTTGTTACTGCGTTTGAATGTAACAGGGATTTTATCAACTGTTTTGTATTGATATTAAGCGTTCAATTAATAGAAAACAGCATTCAGTAGACACCTGTTTAACCTCCTAATGTTTCATTCGATTACTTGCAGTGTTTTGGCCCTGTTTGTTTCTTTTCTGCATTTCTGTTTTTTGACTCGTAGATCATAGATCTAATAGATTATCTACTATACAACCCAACGTTTGAAAGACGTCATACAGGGAGAGGCTTTATTCATCATGTCATGTTCTTCACTGACACTTCACTCACCTTTATATCAAACGCAGTAATGCTGTTCTGATAATCTGGAAGGTTTTGGTCAGTTTTGTTCCTCTGAGATCTGAGGGAAGCAGGTTTAGTCTTGAACTGCTCTTTTTGTTTCCCAGCGGCGCAGTGAATTCTTTTCTTTCAGGGTGGCATCATTTTACCCTTTGGATGCTATGCATCCCCTGCTTTATTTAAGGGAAATTACTGCTATTGTTTGATGTATTTATTGTATTTTTTTCATATACATGTTATCATAATTATATTTTTTATTATTTATAAACTGTATATACCTGGAATTTATTGCTCAGATTTTTATACAGATGATGCATTTAAAGAGAAATACATTTTATCTTTGTGTGTCATATACCACGTGGCTCATTTTGTGTTTTGCTTTGCACCAACATTTTCAAGTCACAGTTTCTCTCTCTAAACCACTATTTAAAAAAAAAAACAATAATGCATTTTCGAACTAATATATGTTATACTAAATGTTATTGCAATAGATTAGATTAGATTCAACTTTATTGTCACTGTGCAGAGTACAAGTACAGCACCAATGAAATGCAGTTAGCATCTAACCAGAAGTGCAAATAACAGAGTATATAAATAAATATAGATTATGTGTATATACATTAAGCTTTATGACATATAGTGCAAGTTATAAGGTTGGAAGGCAGAGACCAGCTCAATGCAAATGACTGTACATACAACATAGGGTGCAAGGAAAGTATAAACAGAAGGTGCATTATACAGTGAGGTACGTAAATAGCATGTTTATATATGGCCAATGACCATAACAGTGCAAATGGCATCCGGAGGTAGAAATGTGCAAGGGAATGTGCAACATATCAGAGAAATGTGCAAAATAGCAGAGGGAATAATAAGAACATTGAGAGTGAGGAGTGCAGACAGTTTTTTTTTTTTTTCAATAGTATGTTAACTTGTTTGAGGCCTCGTTTCCGTAAGAATGGTGTGTCTGAATACTCTCACAGCACAACATGTTTCCACAAAACACAGACTGAAGCGTCTGATCATGCCGCATGCTGTTAGTGTCTGGGTCTTTTAGAACAAAAGTTGAGTGAAAGCATGGGATCGAGGCAACTGTGCACCATGCAATGGAGATAGTTATGTTCTCCGGGGCTTTAGCAATGCTGAACTACTATCATTTTACTTATCTTTTCTGTTATTTTTCACACAAGAGATGATGAATTCATGATATTTGACCCCTGAGAATCAGAATGCACAAGACCCTGCTGCTGCTGTCAACGTAAATAACACAACTGCGCCATCTAGTGGACAGTCACAGTGGACGTTTATAAAATATGAGCAAAACATTCAGACAAACCTTAGAACTAAGAATCTAATAGAATCTATAAATGCATATTAAGCACATAAACCTTAAGGAAAATCCAGCTGTTTAAAACTATCATGTACTGTTATTAAAATAAAATCACCAAGACATTGTAACATATATTTCCATTTTGATGCCATATTTCCATAATGAATTCCTGATCGACAAATGCAAAGCTGCTAGCATAAATCTCTATAAAATTAACTATAAATCGTACCTTTTTAATCACTCACGAATGCGATTGGTCCCACCAGCCCAGTGCAGAGAAAAGTAACAGATACCACATGACAAAACATTTTTATAATTCACATATTTAATAATTTACATCTGAATAATAACAATATTTAAGCTAAGAATACTCGGTGAATACAAAACACCGAAAAATGTTCTTAATGCTTTACCACATATCTGTAGTGTACACTTATTGGTCTCATAGACTTAGACAAGTCATTATTTTAAGTTAGTCATATCTATCATGTTCTTTGTATACTGATGATGCTTATTTGCTCTTTATAACAGCCAAGTTATGGGAATAAAGTACTGAAAACAGTCGTTGTCTTTTCTTCTTTATTGTTTTGTGTTATTTGACATTAAGCAATAAACCCAAATTCTGTGTCAACATCACCTCTTTACTGATCTCAACAACAGAGGACACATGAGAGATGAAAACAGAGCACAGTTATTAACACTTCTGTCACAATTCAGCAAAATAGATGATTTGAAGAACCTATGGGTTACGGTGAGTTGTTGAATCTGGGACAGAAATCACATCTTATATATATATATAATCGAGCGCTGAGATGCTCCGCTTATTTGACTGACTGGAAAACCTTGTGGGCCACCTGCAGAAAACAAACAGAGCAGAACAAGTTATAATGAATATAAAAAATAGTTCATTCAAAAACAAAAATTCTGTCACAAAAATAAATAATTTTGGGAGAATTTTTCACAGAAAAAAATAGCAGCATGCAAGTTTATGATAAACGAGAGAATAAATAATGATAGAATTGATCATTTTGGTTAAACTACTGTTTGAAGTTAGGTGTGTGACCTCAAACCTAATCTGTAAACAAGACTCTAAGACTCTAAACTAAACCTCTCTAGCAATCACTGACATCTAACATCCAGAGCATCAGCACTCACACAGTGGTCACGAGCGTGCAGGAAGTCAAAGAGCTCCTCCGTACAGTCTTCCGTTGTCTCCGAGCGCGAGCCGACCCGTGTCTCGCACGCCTCGAGCCGCTCACGAGTGTGAACGCAATGCTCCGTCTGCTCACACTTCTCCCGCACCGTCTCTAACGGGTCCTGAGGAGCAAACATTCAACAATCATCTTCATCCAACTCAGTATGCACAGACATCAAGACATTATGAAGATGCACATCATCTATGAAATGAGACTTGAGACGTAACGTTGGGTCTTGGGATTGACCGAAATGATACAGTCTTCCGTTGTCTCCGAGCGCGAGCCGACCCGTGTCTCGCACGCCTCGAGCCGCTCACGAGTGTGAACGCAATGCTCCGTCTGCTCACACTTCTCCCGCACCGTCTCTAACGGGTCCTGAGGAGCAAACATTCAACAATCATCTTCATCCAACTCAGTATGCACAGACATCAAGACATTATGAAGATGCACATCATCTATGATATGAGACTTGAGACGTAACGTTGGGTCTTGGGATTGACCGAAATGAAAGAGAATAAGAACTGGTAAATAAGGACACGAGCGAAATGTAAGGATACGTGTCGAATTTATTACAGAGTTACAATTCTAGGTGGCACCATAAATTCAGAAAATCATCAAAACTGCACAGCGGCGTTCACAAGGCATCCACAGCATCTACTTTTTCAGATGTGATGATTTTGGCCATGTTCTTCGTACATGTTACGGAGCCTCATAATTGCTGCACGCAGATGCATTTTCTTTTGAATTGGGGGTGAAATTACCAGTTGTCACTAACGTTTTCATGAGATATATATATACACACACATGTATGTATGTGAAATTATAATTAAGATGATTAGTATATATAGCTATATATCCAAAGTGGCTTACAGAAGACTGATTCTTGATCAAGGGCATGACAGTATCCATTAATCACTTTTGAACAACTGCTAAATATGATTTTTAATTCATTTGAACTTATTTGGACATACTATGCCAATATAATATTGCTTTATAATACAAGACATAAAAGACATACCACCATGTCCTCCTCCTCTTCTTCTTCTTCCTCCTGAACACAACACAGTGTATTATTTGGCTACATATAAATGCTTATGTACATAAATAGTATGACAACAACAACATATGATACCTAGAATGCGTGTATTTATTCATACCAGACAAAGGCAAAATCTCAAGCAACAGTTTAGACAGCAGAAGCATAAAATAACAGTAAATATGTACATTAGGTTCAACGTATAGATCAAGCTAGGCCCAACAACCAGAGCGGATTTACATAAAGCGGCTTCTTTAACACACTAAATGACATTTAACCCGCTCTGTAAAATAGTATAGGCTACTATACCTCCTCTGGCTCTCCATTCGTGATCATTTTATCTTCGAAAACCATGATTTCAGCGGAGTTTTCCCTGAAGTGACCCTCTGCGGACCGTGATATGCGCCGATGGAGGACAGCGTGACCCTTTCCGGAAGTTGTAAGTGCTTTGGTGCAAAGAGAGACGGTCCCACCTCTGTCAACTTCCGGTTCAAGCTGTCTCGCTCAGCTGTAAATAAACATGTTTAGAGTCCAGCCATCATCGGTCTGTGCGGATCTTTCTGTATTCGACACAAATTCTCAAAATAGTGAAGTAATATGACATATGTTCACTATATTAATTCCTGCAAGCGTTGATCTTTTATTTTATTTTATTATTATTATTATAATTTTTTTTTATTATTGCACTCTTTAGAACAATGAACATACAAGGGCAATAACATATAGGCCAAATTGCATCAAAACAAATACCATAATAAGCAAAAATATTATTATTATAAAAAATAATAAAAGGAAAGCAATAAGAAAATCACATGTCCATAAACAAGTACAAATAGTTACACATTTTTCAAAGAATAGATTTAAGGCTGTTTTAGTTTTTCGCCTTGTTATTTCTTGCTTCTGTGTGTGCAGGTAGTGACCTATTTCTATTTTAAAATCAGTAAAATCATTTTTTTTACTGCCCATTTACATTTGTGAATAAAGAATTTTCCATATATAATGAGTAAATTCACATTATACCAAATTTTGAAGTCAACAGTATATCTTTGAGTTGCAGTTCAATCTTAGTATTTTTTTAACAAACAACAAAAAAAATCACAGCAAAATAGTTTTGTATAAACACATAAAATAAATGGACACTACTCTCATTTTCCTCTTTACAGAAAACACACTTCAAGTCAATGTCTTCACAAAACTTTGCAGAAATATAATTCAATACAAAAGAAAGAAATAATACAGAACAAAGAACATATGGAGCAATACAGAGGAGAGACGAAAAAATTCACAAATTACAATTTACTGAAAAACTGTTCTGTAATACGAGATGTCTTCAGAGCTTTTTTATTAGAGGAGACTTTTTGAAGTGATGATAATAATAATAAATGTAGATCAGAAGCAAATATTTTGCAGCTGGGTTTAAATGTCAGGCATCTGGCTTTGTGGATATGGAATTTACCCATCATACAAATAAAGTTTAAGACATCGTATAACTCCTTATTGTTAGAAATATCAGAATGGAAAAGAACCGTATTGATGGAAATACTACAGAGCTGGTGGAACAAGAAATAGAAGCTGATATTTGAAGCCAGAGTTATTTAGAATAATAACAGAAATAGAATAAATGAGCAGAGTGGAGAAATATTATGGTTAAGTTGACTTAGATACTTATTACAAGGGTATTAATGACGATTGATTTACTTTATTATTAAACAAAAATGTTTTTGGCACAGTCCATACCTTTAAAAAATAATGTTTGGTTAAAGTTCTGACCCTCTTTATTTATTTGACCCTCTAACTCTAGCACTCTCTATTCTAATTCTATTCTTTAAAAAACAACTTGCCTCTTTTAGACTTGTACTCTATTCATTTACTGCTTGTTTTCTTTAAAAAAAAAACACTAGCTTCTCTAATCTTTTTGTATTCTATCTATGTTTTCTTTTTATTTATTATACAATTAACAAAAGCAAAAAAAAGGCCTCTACCACTAGCTTGCTCTACTCTTTTTCTATTCTATCTGTTTTCTTTTTATTTATTATTATATTATATTATATATTGATATTGCACATCATTGCTCTCTTGTTGATTTTGATTGCTTCTATTGTCATCATTTGCACAGTCCATACCTTTAAAAAATAATGTTTGGTTAAAGTTCTGACCCTCTTTATTTATTTGACCCTCTAACTCTAGCACTCTCTATTCTAATTCTATTCTTTAAAAAACAACTTGCCTCTTTTAGACTTGCACTCTATTCATTTACTGCTTGTTTTCTTTAAAAAAAACACTAGCTTCTCTAATCTTTTTGTATTCTATCTATGTTTTCTTTTTTATTTATTATACAATTAACAAAAGCAAAAAAAAGGCCTCTACCACTAGCTTGCTCTATTCTTTTTCTATTCTATCTGTTTTCTTTTTATTTATTATTATATTATATTATATATTGATATTGCATATCATTGCTCTCTTGTTGATTTTGATTGCTTCTATTGTCATCATTTGTAAGTGGCTTTGGATAAAAGCGTCTGCTAAATGACTAAATGTAAATTTTGCCTTGGCAATAAAATTGTTGCCTCTAAAAAGCAGTGTTTAAAGGAACCCTGAGCCTGCCAGCGTTGATCTGCGTTACATTGTAAATGTTCTGCTGCCAGTTGTTGGCCTGGAGTACAAATAGAAATAAAATATAGAAATAAAAACAGGTTAAATATATATATAATGTTTAAATGCATGTTACCTAGGCTACCTAGCTACCTGCACCTAAGTATAACACAGCTTTTCTCCCTGTCAGGATCTTTTAGGCAATTTTGAGCGCAGCTCATAGTCTTCCTCTTATGCAGGGATCTGATTTCCATCTGCACACTGCACAGGAAATGGAATGATGAAAGTTGGAGCTCTTCTTCTTCTTTTGGAGTTTTATGGCGGTTGGCAAACAAACGATAGGTGTGGACCATTGATGGAAGAGGAATAACTAAAAAAAAAAAAATAATAATAATAATAATAATATATGTATATATATATATATATATATATATATATATATATATATATATATAATATTTTTTTTTAATAAAAAGAAAGTAAACCCTTCTAAATACTGTTAAACAGATCTACTTTTTTTTAAAGAATGTCATTAAAGCATTATATACTTTATAATGATTCAAGTCATTATTCAACAAAGTTTTAAGTGTAATATTTTCTATCCCTGTTTCTTTTCATTCTTCCAACAGAAATGCTCTTTCATTATCATAAGCAGAACAACGTAATAGTGCATGCTCTGCTGTTTCTGGTAATCCACACAGACTACAGTTCCCAGACTCGTGATTATTCATTTTATACAGAGAAGAATTTAAAGCAGTATGGCCGATGTGAAGTCTGGTAATAATCGTATCTTCTCTTCTACTACCAAAATGAACTCTTTCAACCCCAACTTGATTCTGAATATGATAAAGATGTCTTCCTCTCTCCTCCTTATTCCAAGCTTCTTGCCATCTCATATGTTTTATTGCTGTTCTAATTTTAGCCTTAACATCTTTGCTTAGTGGTATAATAATTTCTATATGTGATAATTTCAGTGCCTGTTTTGCTAAATGATCCACAACCTCATTTCCATCCACTCCCACGTGTGCGGGAACCCACAGGAAACATATCTTAATTCCTATCTTATTCACTCTATACAAGAATTTCATACAAAATGTCTGAAGATGAAGATCTTCCACTGATAAGACTTGATAATGCAGAGAATGAGTCTGAACATACCACCGCATTCATTGGCCGAGTATCCTCCATCCACCTGATAGCTAATAATATTGCTACCATCTCTGCAGTGTAAACTCCTACTTGATCAGAAACTCTTTTACCAATCTTGATTTGATAAGTTGGGACAAATACAGCTGCTGATGCTCGTCCTGTCTCGTGATCTTTGGAACCATCAGTGAAAATTGAGATTGCGGAGTTGTAATTCTGTTCTAGATACAGTTTAACCATGACATCTTTTGCTATTACTCTATTTTTGTCTTTAATAATTTCTTGCAAATTAAAGTCTACTAATGGTAAAGGGAATAACCAAGGTGAAATGGGTGACACTACTACTGCAGGGCTCATTTCTACATTTATTATTCCACATGACTGGGCTTCTTCTTCTTCTGCTATCCTTCCACAACTTCTAAACTTGTCTGACTCATGTTCCCAACACTTTTTTAATTGGATGAGTTTCATCATGTCCCTTTACAGAAATCCAATAAGTCAACATCAACTTTACTCTTCTAATATCAAGTGGCAGCTCTCTCATTTCTACCTGTAAGCAATCGCTCCACAACATATTCGTAATGCTTGTGACTGTATCATTTCTACTTTCTGCAGCAAACCTTTCGACGCTGACCCATATGCTATAATAGTTGCACAAACCTATGCCTAAACTACATTTGTTCATCATTTTTATAATGTTTTCATTAGTTTGCACGTTTTGTGCAGTCGTCACTGACACTTAAGCTAGTTGTAAATTACTTTGATTTCAGTTCGTTGTGCTGTAGCTTGCAATGCTTTAAAACTGTGTCTGTTGTTAGTTGTTTTCATTTAAATATAACAGCTGAAATAAACTTGTATTTGTGAATCGTTTTTCATCTATGCTGGTGTAATTGTTCTTAAACTGTTAGGCTTAGGCTGTATTTACAAAATGAATAGGAATCTAAGACCACACACACACAAGCATGAAAGTGTTCCTTTAATAAGTACAATTTTGGATTAAACAAAATTGTATGGACACAAGTTTAAAAAGTAGCCTATATTTGGTACACTGTAAATGAGAAAACAAATGCTTCTCATCATTTTATGGAATGGAATAAGAAACTAATTTCATGTTAAAAAAATAATTTCATTAATTAACAAATGTTCATAAGTGTGCTTGTTTTGATATGATATATACACTACTGTTCTAAGGATTTGTATTAGTAAGGTTCTTTGTTCATCAACTGCATCAATTAAAAATATTAAAAAACATTAATATTGTGGAATGATTTAACAATTTAAAATAAAGGTTTTTCCCCCTGTGATGTCAGATCTCAACTTCTTCTCTTTAGTGTCTCATAACCCTTCAGAAATCATTCTAATATGCTGATTGTCTGCACAAGAAACATGTCTGATTATTATCAGAGTTGAAAATGGTTGTACTGCTTAATGAAGCGTGGAAACCATTATACAGCGACAGGATTCCTTGATGAATGGAAAGTTCAGAAGAACAGCATTTATTTGAAATATAATTTATTTTTTACGTTATAAATGTCTTTACTGTCATTTTTATTAAATTGATGCATTCTTGAAGAGCAAAAATATACATTTCTTAAAAATAAAAATAAAAGAATTCATAGTAATCAGAAACTTTTGAATGTTAATGTCATGTATCAAATGCCAGAATCAAGTGAAGAATTTGTGTTTTTTTAGCTTTATTATGTCATTTTTATACAGCAGATTCTACAAGGGCGTTAACATCACACTCTCTTGTCTCCAATGTTGTCTTGTTTTGGTGCATACATCTTTTTAATTTGTAACAAGGATTCAATAGTGATTCATGCTCAAAATTCAGGAAAACTTGACTTTATTAATCGCATCTTCCATGACTAACATTTTCCTGGATTTTGAGTGTGAATCACTATTGAATTCATATTTTTTAAAACAAAATGTCACTGTCTCACATAATATCAAACATTCACACCAACACACATACACAACTAAAAGAAAACAAGTAGATAGAAGAGAAAAAGAATAGTGAAAGCTAGTGTTAGAGGCCTTTTTTTAGAAGAACACAAGCGCGCATGTCCGGGAAACTCATGAATATTCATGTATGCCCCGCCCACTGAAACCAAAAATATCGGAAACCAAAAATCTCGTAACACCTGGTTCTTAAAAACTCAAAAAATGAGAACACGATCGCCACACACACACACACACACACTGAGCAGCAGTTATGGAGCGCATTAATGTGCAGCAGCTTGTATTAGACATGGATATTAACTGGACGCCGGTGATTGCAGCCACAGTTTGCGGTACAGGTGCATTATATCTCTTCTTGAAATGGAGAAATTACCAGAAGATTCAGAAGAAAATACTAAACGCACGGAAAAGACGAGATACATCTCTTCTACAGGCTGAACAAGCGGTGCAACAATTTAAAATACGGGTATAAAAACTAACATGCATCTATTATTAATGCAATATACATGGAATATGCATTGTGTGTAGAGTAAGTGTTTATGAATGTGCCTGTCGTGTATAAAAATTATATTGTCATATAATATGGGGTAAGTTGTCACAATGGAATCTTCTGCTACTGTCCATCTTTAAGCTAAATGGAAACAGTAAAGTTTATGTAACTGTACAAATGGAAGCTGTAACAAAATCCACTATATTTTCCATTCTTACAAATCGAATAATTAACACATGTAAAAGATATTTACATATTTAAAACATATTTTTGATAATTTACTCAATTTTTTTTATTTCAAACTTAAATTTTTGCAAGCTTGAATTGAGTACTATAATTGTTTTTTTTTGCCTGAACTAAATCTGTAGTATTTACTTAACCACAGAATAATTTTTGTCAGTGCAGTCTGCTTTTTATAGAGAATCAGATAAAGATAAAGTCTATTTTCACTATATTGTTGACTCTTTTCTGAATGGAGGTGAGTGTGGTGTAGTTTTCCATTTTTACATAACTGATGTTACAAGAACATTATGATACGGCAATTTTAGTTTAAACTAATTTGACACATTTAACTAGATGTTTGGAAACCAACATATAAAACCACACTGCTAGAGGAAAAAAGCATTTGTGTAATTGGACATTTGACTCAAAACCTTCTAGTTATGTAGTTTGTGCAACAATGTAAATATATTTACCTTTAAAAAAAAAAATATATATATATATATATCCCATTAAACCTGCTGAAATACAAGGAGCATGAACTGAAATTCTCAGTTCCACGCGCATGTCCGGGGAAACTCATGAATATTCATGTATGCCCCGCCCACTGAAACCAAAAATATCGGAAACCAAAAATCTCGTAACACCTGGTTCTTAAATTTTTGGCATAAAAGAAAAATCAATAATTTTGACCCATACAATGTATTTTTGGCTGTTGCTACAAATATACCCCAGCGACTTAAGACTGCTTTTGTGCTCCAGGGTCACATATTATAAGAAATTAAACCTATAGCAATTATGATATATATATATATATATATATATATTCATATATTATATCATATATTGCTTTCTTTACTTTGGGATCCGTGTGAAAAAGTGCACAAGGCCAGCAGGAAAAGAAAACTCTTTGTTGGGTTGTGTAATGTTGTACTTCAAAGTCTCTGGAGGTGAACAAGAATCTGAACTGCAGCACTGAGATCTTAATGGAGTCTGTGGCGCAGCTGGAAGACATCAAATCTCAAAAGAAAGGTCTTCTGTACGGAGTGCCCATCAGCATCAAGGACAACGTCGCATATGAGGTGAATATGATGGCTAGACAGGTTCAGAGAAGTGTCTTCCTGTTTGAGGTGTATCTAACATCCTGTTTGTGTGAGCAGGGTCATGACACTTCCTGTGGTGTGGTGAGTAAGTTGGATCAGCCTGCGCTCGTGGACAGTGTGGTGGTTACAGTGCTGAAGAAGCAGGGCGCGATCCCGTTCATCAAGACCAACATACCACAAGGTCTTCTCAAGTGAGAAGATTTTTTTTCTTTTACGAAGAATATAATTTCTAATTTTTGATGTTGCAGTGAACTTTATTCATGAAGCTCAGCTGTTCACCTTACAAAGCAATTTTGTTATTAATTTGAAACCATTTATCTATGGAACAGAGATATACAGCCCAAGGACAATTCTGGGGGGGGGGGGATTAAATGGAAAATCCTGGTAATATCAAATGATTTGCAGGCCAAGAAGAGTCAGAATTTTTTTTATCTTAAACCAGCAAGAGTGTATGAAGAGACCATGCAGTTAGTAGCTCATTTGCTGGAGCTTAGTCACAAAAGGTCCTTTTTTTTTTTTTTTGCAACATTATTCATGATATTTAAGCTCATTTATCCTACCTCTGACAACTGTCAATGTAAAATCAAATTTTCCAACAAGGAAAAAATGATATATGATTTATATTGTAAAGAACATTTGTAAGTATAAAACAATGTTTGTTGTTGAATTTGAATTAAATTTTTGCTGATTTTAATAAAATATTGTGTCCAGACAGGATGAAAACTAAAACCACAAAAAACTTTTTCACTTGAAATTAAAATAATATATATATTAAATAAACATATTATATTTCAGCTGGTTGCCAAGGCAACATTTCTAATTTTTGTTTAGTTTAACTTGATAAACTATAATTATTAAATCTAAAAGTGAAAAAAAAATACAAAACCATATTGATTTTATTTTTTAATGACAAAAACATACAACAAAATTACTACAGCTTTAACTCAAATTGACCTGAAACCAGAAATAGAAAATGAAGATATTGAATGAAAACTATAATAGAATCTCAGTGATACTAAAACAACAATGTGCAATATTGAGGCAAACATGCATTGTCACAATAAAAAATGCTTTTAAAGATAGGTTTAATTTTTTTCCTTTTATGAAGAATATCATTTCTTTCTTTTCCCAGTAGCCTTTATTCATGAAATTCAACTGTTCACCTCACAAATCAATTTATGTGTTACCATTTTGAGACATTTATCTGTGGAACAGAGGCATACAGTCCAAGGGCAAACATTCCTATAACTAGTTTGTGCTTTCTAAAAGTACTTCAGTTCTCTCCTGCAGACCTCAGTATTCATAACAGAACAGATTTTTATTGCCATTTGTTAAACTTATGGTATTATGACATTATGGTCTGCTATTACATGTATAAGATCTAAGGTGTAACTTATGCTGAAACCATGATTTTCCCAAGATAAGACCCCTGTACAGTTAAAAAAACAAAGAGTGGTTTAACACCACTCATAAACACCTGGGGCCCCACAATCATTATACATTTTATGAGAAGAAAATGTTCATTATAATGATCTCGATCACAAATGCCAAGTTTCAGGGGTCAACTAGGTTAGAAGCTTTTTTCACCACTCAGGAAGAGAGAGAGTGAAGGTTCTGGAAAGCTACTTTGTGCCTTTGTATCCACTGTTGTTACCAACTCAAACCCTCTGTATTTGTATCTACTGTAGTTATGACTGCAGTAACCCCATTTATGGGGAAACCTTGAACCCCTGCGACCTTCAGAAGTCCCCTGGTGGTTCATCCGGAGGGGAGGGAGCTCTGATTGCAGGAGGCGGCTCCTTTCTAGGCATAGGCACTGACGTTGCTGGGAGCATTCGTATCCCAGCATCCTTCTGTGGGATTTGTGGATTTAAGCCCACAGAAAGGAGGATAAGGTTCATATGCATCTTAAATCTAATTTGTGTGAGGATACTGTATGCGGTGAGGAAGAGTTTCATAAAGCAAAGGGTTTACAGTAGGTTTTGGAAGTGTAATGCTTGTTACAGTAATTGAACATTTTAAAGATTCTGTCCTACAAATAACCTCTTGAGTTCTATAAATCCCCTTGTGTCGACTCAACATAAATCATAAAAATTAATATATGTTGAGATATTGTTGTGTGTTAAAACAGTAACAGGGTTAACCTGGTGGCTAGCCATTACTAGCATGTGCTCAGGTATTTAGTAGAAAAATAATTCAATGCTTGTATTCTTGCAAATCTCCAGTTTTAAATAATCACTTGTTTGCAATAGAAAATCAAGGTACCAGGGATGATCATTTAAAAGAGAGAGAGAGAAATATATATAGTAGCCTAATTACTAATGTAATGATGTTTCATACAATAACCATAATGTAATGTCCTTTATTAATTGCATATGTGTGGCTCAATCGCAAAAACATGTCTAGGTCATATTTTCATTGACATGTAAATAATGTCACATTGTAAAAATGCTTTATTTTATTCAAGAAATATATAAATTCTTGTTACCTGTTTTTGAATTTGAGGTGAAAATGTCCTGTTCCAGTCTTGGCATGATATTGACAGGTTTTGTGAAAGTCACCTTTCACCTTAATCTACCTGTTTCTCTTGTTCTCTGTTTTGCTTGTTTTTTTATTTTATCACTAAGGATTTTTCATTTATCCTTAGTGTTCGTGGAATCAGTTCTTGCGTCAAAGGCCAGAAATCAGGTGAGATCATGTTTATCATCGTGCTGTTCTAGTCCTGAACTTTACACTTACAGAACATCAGGTACTGTCTATCATGTAATTGTAGCATTGTGCTGGTGTGTTTGCAGTGTCGTCCTCTCTTGGCCCTTTGGCAAGGGACGTCGAGAGCTTGGCACTGTGTATGCGGGCACTGCTCTGCCAGGACATGTTCTCCTTAGACCCCACCGTCCCTCCCATACCGTTCAACCAAGAGGTTGCATATTAAATATCACACACCAAAGATGCCTGTATTTGTGATGTGTTATGCAAATGCAGAATCTATGATACTTTGCTCTTGTTAAACAGGTGTATGAGAGCTCCGAGCCCCTGAGGATTGGTTACCATGAGAACGACGGGTATCTGCAGCCGTCTCCGAGCATGGCCAGGGCCTTCAGGGAGACTAAGGACCTGCTGGAGAAAGCGGGGCACACGGTACACAGACACACTGCCTTAACAGTTGTTATGTAAATCAGTGGCAGATTGTAGGTAAGAAAGAAAATGCAGTGGTTATGAATTGGTCATGAAAGTCTGAATGGTTTTCAGTCCACTGTAGTGGACACCATACATCTGAGGGTTAAAAGCTGTGTCAGAACACTTGAAAAACTGCTCTGATGTTCTGGTGTGTCGTTCACATTTTAGCTGGTTCCATTGCAACCCCTGCGGCTCTACCATGTCTTCCATGAGTTGGCTTTCAGAGGGATCATGGGTGACAGAGGTCATACCCTCATCAGTCATCTGTACGTCTGGTATCAGCACATTTAGATAGTCATTAAAGGCACTGTAGCCACGTCTTATTCATAATAACCATGTGTCTGTTGTATATTGTATGTGTTTTGTGTGATTTCAGGAAGCCAGGCCCCGTTGACCCGTGTCTCCGCGATCAGTACATCGTGTTGAGCACTCCAGGCTTCATAAAGAGACTAATTTCTGTTGTTCTCAAGCCTTTTGTGAGTGATGAAATTGCAATTGTTTCCTGCTTCTCATTTGCATCTAATTAAGCAATCAGTTGTTTTGGAAAGAGGATATTTAACCTAATGTGTTTTTCTCTGGTTTTGATGTTTGTACTCTTCAGTGTCCACGGATTTCTGCAAGCATAGATGCAACTCTTGGAATTGGGTCAGTTATAGAGATGCACATTTTATTCATTTGAATAATTAACATAATTATGTTGATAAATATTATTTGCTAGAGTGTTATCTAAGTTGGTTACAATTACGTTTTTTTTATTTATTTTTTTTACAATTTAAAAGTTTTCGAAAAATGTGAAATACACTACCGCTCAAAGTTTGGGATCAGTACGATTTTAAAAAAAAAGAAATTAGTACTTTTATTCAGCAAGGATGCATTAAATTGATAAAGCAACAATAAAAATTTACATTATTAAAAACAAAAAGTTACAAATGCTGTTTTTTCTAATCTTCGCACTCATTAAAGAATCCCAAAATACATTTTATCATGTGAAATATGAAGCAGTACAACTGTTTTCAACATTGATAATAATCAGAAATGCTTCTTGAGCAGCAAATCAGCATATTAGAATGATTTCTGAATGTAACCTTTGACTCACTTAATGAGTTCACAAGTAAACCATATACGAATAGACAAGCAGTCAAAACGGTGTTTGTTGCAAAAATATTATTTGCTAGAGTGTTATCTAAGTTGGTTACAATTACGTTTTTTTTTTTTTTTTTTTTTACAATTTAAAAGTTTTCGAAAAATGTGAAATACACTACTGCTCAAAGTTTGGGATCAGTACGATTTAAAAAAAAAAAGAAATTAGTACTTTTATTCAGCAAGGATGCATTAAATTGATAAAGCAACAATAAAAATTTACATTATTAAAAACAAAAAGTTACAAATGCTGTTTTTTCTAATCTTCGCACTCATTAAAGAATCCCAAAATACATTTTATCATGTGAAATATGAAGCAGTACAACTGTTTTCAACATTGATAATAATCAGAAATGCTTCTTGAGCAGCAAATCAGCATATTAGAATGATTTCTGAATGTAACCTTTGACTCACTTAATGAGTTCACAAGTAAACCATATACGAATAGACAAGCAGTCAAAACGGTGTTTGTTGCAAATGCTTTTACACAGTAGCTTTATTAAAAATAACAAACTTATTGAACAAATAAAAAAATGGAAATGGGTAATAACAAAAAAACACCAGTTCATCCAACTTCAGCTTCACACAGAGTATTTTCTCTCACATAATTTAGTGTACATTATGCTTCTTAGTTGGTATATTCTTTCTGACCACACATTTCACCTTTCAGTTTCCCGTTCTATCCTTCTAATCTGCTTCCTTTAAAACATCCGGATCATGTGACACTGAAGACTGGAGTAAAATTCAGCTTTGATCACAGAAATAAACTACATTTAAGAGTATATTCAGATTTTTTTTTTAAGGTTAAATTGTAATAAAATTTCACAATATTACTGTTTTTGTGGTATATTGATAAAATAATTGCAGCATTGGTGAGCAGACTTCTTTCAAAACATAAAAAACCACATCAATCACAAACATTTGAATGGAAGTGTATTTTCACCCAAAAATTAAAAAAAGAATGATTTACTTTTAAAATGTATTATTTACCCTTCAAAACCTAAAACATGACTTTTTTTTTTGTATTTATTTTTATTTTTCTCTCTCTCCTGTTAAACAAAAAAACACCATAATATATATTCTCAGTCTTCAGAAGTCTGATAGCTTTGTGTTTGTGCAGAATTTAAATGCATTTTTGGGTTCATTTAATATATAATATATTTAAATTATTTAACTTTTTTTCTTCCTTTTTTAAGGTCTGTGGCAGAATTGTGGAGACAACATGTAAATATTGAGGTAGTTATTTATTATATTGATTTCATAATGTGGATTTTCAACAGCTTTCATCAACACCACTGTAGAAACTATGTAAATGATTATCAACTTTATCAAGGGAAAAAGAGCTGGTGATGTTTTGGAACTGAGGGGGGCTTATTGCTATAGTACATTAAACCATGCGAAGCGAGTTTAATCATTGCTAGAAAAAAATTCAAAGCCATCCTGATGAAAACCAGCATACACTTTCATGGCTTCTTCACATCGGCATATCCTTACTCAACCAATAGCTTTTGCATAATTCTCATCTAAAAATCAAGATCTGCTAAATAGTTCTGGCACAACTTCTACAAACACACCTCACACCTTCCTCAACTTTTAAATTGGACGTTTTTCTGCCAAATTGACCACATTCTTCACCTCTTGTGTCTGAACTGTATTTTACATGCTGTATAATGTTTATGATATTGTTACGTGTCCTCGTTCCAGTGTATTATTGTGACTTTGAATAACATGGATATGAAAGATTCTTATTCTGACGTGATTGTTTTCTTATCTGTAGGAGTACATTCAGGAGGTGATAGCAGAGTGGAGGAGACTGAATGTGGATGTTTTGTTGTGCCCCATGCTTGGACCAGCCTACAATTTCAATTACTGCGGGAGACTCACCAGTAATGTCTTACCTCATATTTACATTACCATTACATTTACATTATCTTTTTGTCCGTAAGGCCAGGTTTTTGTCATGAAGTGCAATTATATATATATATATGTATGTGTGTGTGTGTGTGTGTGTGTGTGTTTGCTGTATGTGTATATGTATGTCTTTTTTTTTTTACTACTTAATCACTATACCACATCTGATGTCTCATTGTTTTTTTTTTTTGCTTTTAATTCCTTCAGCATTACTAGTTAGTTTGACTAGTAAAACATTTTTTTGACCTGTCATACGTCTCCGTTTGATTACATCTCCTTGATGGTTTTAAAGGTATAGTTCACCCTCAGACCATCCAAGATGTAGATGAGTTTGTTTCTTCAACATATTTGGAGAAATGTAGCATTGCATCACTTGTTCACCAATGGATCCTCTGCAGTGAATGGGTGCCGTCAGAATGAGAGTCCAAACCTCTGATAAAAACATCACAATGATCCACAAGTAATCCACACCACTCCAGTCCATCAGTTAACATCTTGAGAAGACAAATGCTGCATGCTTGTAAAAAAACGAATTCATCATTAAGACATTTTTAACTTCAAACCGTTGCTTCCAGCTAAAATATAAGTCCTCTATATATAATATTGCTTTCTCCAGGGAAAAAGTTGTCTTATCCAAATCAGGAGAGAAATCTGCACAGATCAAGCATCGTTTACAAGGCAAAACATTCTGACGGCACCCATTCACTGCAGAGGATCCATCGGTGAGCAAGTCATGGAATGCTACATTTCTGCATCTTGAATAAAAGCTTACTTGTCCAGAAGAAGAAGCAAACTTATCTATATCTTGAATGCCCTGAGGTTGAGTACATTTTCAGCAAATTAAAATTTTTGGGTGAACTGTTCCTTTAAATGTAACATATTTATTATTACATTTTTACTGTATTTAACTTGTAAAGCTGAGGGAATAAAAGCTTACATGCTTTACCTATGTGCCAATCTTATACTTCCTGTTAGGGATTTACTTAAAAACTGGGCTGATGTGGATTGTGATTCTGTGGTTTCTGCGGTTTCATGTTACTTATTAACTTGACCGTAATGATTTCAGCATTACTTAAGGTCAGTAACAGTCACCTAAGTTAATTTTCTCCACTCTGAAGGTGCTCTCAGTTACACCAGTCTATACAACCTGCTGAACTTCCCTGCCGGGGTGGTGACCGTGTCTACAGTGACGGAGGAGGACGAGGCACAGCTCAGTCAGTACACGGGTGCCCATGGGGACATGTGGGACAAACTCTTCGTTAAGGTACATTTTCCCAGTGCAAGACCACTGAGGTAAATTGCCATTAAATGCTTATGTGTTTTTGTCCGTCTTAATCAGTGTTGGGCTAGTTACTCAAAGAATGTAATATATTACTAGTTACTCCATTCAAAATTAATATTGTTACTTATTACTTTCTGGCAACAGTAATTAGTTACACTACTAGTTACATTACTTTTTCTTCACGCCCCACAGAAGTTGTAACTGTATTTTCCACATGAAATGCTTCTAGAATGTTACTAACAACATATTTCTGCCTCATCATTTGACCAAAATCCACATTGGATCGCAGTCAGAAGTTATTACAAACACTCAGTAGTGATTGATAGTGACATTCAAGAGAAAGTGTTGTATTAATCTCATTAATTGTCATGTGTAGCTTGAAGCTAATTGTAATCTCTCCATATATGATTATATTTCATTATGTATTTTATCAAATCACGTTTGTAAGAAACTGTTTAATTTTCCAAAAATATTTGTAATTATAGTAATATAATGTACCACATGCTGATCAGAGGGATGTGGGTGGGATGTAATGTCAGAGTAAAGTAAAGCCACAACTTACTCAACAGTGTTCAGATCATCTTTTTTCCTGACAAAATCAATATAATGCAATATTTCTATCTGCTGAATGTAAGCTTTTCCATATTCCAAGCTTGCCTGCTGCACTGGGGACATCACATGCATGTGCGAGTTGTGAAAATTATGAAAATAAATCTAGAAATGATTTGATTGTTGGATTTTAAATCAGCGGGGTTGAGGCAAAAGTTCTCTAAGCTAGTAACTAAGCTGTTTGATGGATGGTAACTGTAATATTATTACTGAAATCTTATTAGTAATTAGTTACACTACTAGTTACTGCAAAAAGTAATATTATTACAGTAACTAAGTTACTAGTAACTAGTTACTGCCCAACACTGGTCTTAATACATTGTAAACTTTGTGTGGGTTGAATGCCTGACCACCACAAGGAGGCAGTATAGTCAAGATTACAAAGAAGTAACCACACAGAAAGCGGCAGGCTGACATATGTTTTATTAAACTATAAACTTTATAATTTTACTAAATATAATGGTCTTATAACTTAGTAGTAAATCCATATATGACACTGTGTATTTTTGGGTCATTCTAATCTAAGGAGACTGCACTATTTGCTCCTGATTTTTTTTTGTTTGTTTTTAATTTAATAATTTCATTACAAACAATTAACAGGTGTCAAAAAATTGTTTTACCATGCCCATTTTTTTTTATATTAGACCAATCCTAAATATAGGATGACAATCTTACAGAGTACCAATAGTTTTTTATTAATATTCTGATTCACATTTTTCAAATGTGTTGTTACAAATAACGCATAACAGCATGAAAAAAAATGTTTCCAAGCATGTTTTTTGTCATCTCCATAACATTTCATATGTTTGCATTTAATTTTTATTTAATTGTAATTAGGTTTAATTGTCAGTGTAGAAATGACAAATTTCTTTTACAGTCAATAATGTTTCATTTTGTGTCATACAAATGCTTTTCTGAAGAAATGCATCATTGTGTTGTGAGTTTTGGGCGTGGCGATTTGGATTAAATACTTATGAAGACTATATAAGAAACGTATGATCAAAACATTATCACTCCTTTAAAAACGATCAATTCTAACCATTATTTTTAAAGGTGGAATGTCAAATGCAGTGCATTAAAAAAGCCTAAAATGTTATTTTTTTTTAATTTCATATATTTTATTTTATATAAACTATTAGACTATTTAATGGTGATTATTGGGAACATACAGATTGGTTGATATTCAGACAATAAACAAAACTAAAAATAAAATTGTTTTAAAATTAATTTTGTATTACAAAGCAAACCCATGTTAATGGTTAATTATATCAATAATATGGCATGGGATGCAAATGAGGCACAAAAAACTCTGTGTTTCTCTGTGTGTGTGTGTACTTCCTTAGCGAAACTTGTGATGGGCAAACGTCCTCACTTACATGGTGAAATATCATGACAGCTAACTAGTGAGGACATTGTGTGCCATCACTAGTGAAAAAGTCTTATAATTCGGTCAAATCATGTTTCGTTATCAATGTAGTGTTTTGCACAGGTTTCTGTGATGGTTGTGTTTAGGAGAAATGCCATAGAAATATCATTAACCTGATATAAAAAACAATGGAAGTCTATGAGATGTCCTCCCTAATATAGTGAAACGTGTGTGTGTGTGTGTGTGTGTGTGTGTGTGTGTGTTTTCAGGCGGTGAAGGGTGGCGTTGGTCTCCCTGTGGCAGTGCAGTGTGTGTCTCTGCCGTGGCAGGATGAAATGTGTCTGCGCTTTATGAGAGAGGTGGAACAGCTCACAGCCAAGAGCAAACTCACCAGGAAACATTAATGATTGAAATTCTGCTGTGTATGTTTGTGGGCTGCTAACGGTTCAGTCCCAGGTGAGCCATGAGCAGGCCTACACTGAATCTGCGGCCGCAGAAACCTCTACAGATTCTATCCTACAAGTTCTAGGTAACTCACAAATCCTATATGTTGTTCATCAAAAACTTTAACTGACCTTGATTATGTTTTCAGTTAAGAACAAGTTCTGCTGTGTGTTAAGGTTTTGGAAGAAAGAATGGTACTGTAACGTTCATTAACTGTATTTTTTTTTTAATTTTCTGAAATTACTACAAGTAAGCCGTTTATATCTGTTTGTCAACCAGTGGAAGACAGGAAGAATCTGTGTGAAATCAGTCTCTATATGTTGTTCATCAAAAACTTTAACTGACCTTGATTATGTTTTCAGTTAAGAACAAGTTCTGCTGTGTGTTAAGGTTTTGGAAGAAAGAATGGTACTGTAACGTTCATTAACTGTATTTTTTTTTAATTTTCTGAAATTACTACAAGTAAGCCGTTTATATCTGTTTGTCAACCAGTGGAAGACAGGAAGAATCTGTGTGAAATCAGTCGTTAGTTTTTGCAATAACACTTTGGTGAAGATTTTTCGCTGCTGAAATTTCACACCTTTAATAAATAACAAGTAACTCTTAATCATTCTTCACAATGTTATGAATATATATATATATACGTATATAATCACAATGAAACATTAATATTTGCACTCACTATAGAAGCAGTAAAGCTTCATCAAAACTGAATGAGGATTTGAATGTTTCTCTTCATTTCTGTATCATTTTGTATAATTTAATGCCTCACAAATTCATTAAACGAAAATGAATCAGAGCTGCACATCACAGGTTCACTGGAAAACCATCGTCCTTGCTTTGCTGTCGTTATGAGATGAGCGGCACTCATTTCTGTGCCCTGAATGATGACTTTGGTTGGAAAGGCTTTAACTGGACTTAATGACACGTGACACTATCAGCTCCGATGTAATGTAAATATTTGTCTGTTCTGGGTTTTCCACACATTTTACATTCTTCATTTACATGAGTCATCAAGGATGGAAACTCATTAGGGACATTTTGATTTCCTCTCATTTTATTGTTCTCTTTCCTGTTTCACTGTTGAAATGGATCCTAATTGTAATTCTGGCCTGCAAGGTAATGTATTTAACATTTAAAAAAAAAACATTGCTTTAATAATGTAACCTTGACAAACGTTCAAAATTTGGGATCAGTAAGATTTTTTTTTTTAAGAAATTAATACTTTTATTCAGCAAGGATGCATTAAATGGGTCAAAAGTGACAGTAAAGATATTTAAAATCTTACAAATTATTTCTATAATTTCTATTCACTGTCAAATCAGTGTACTAGAATTGATTTCTGAAAGATCATGTGACTCTGAAGACTGGCATAATAGCTGAAAACTGCTGAGAATTCAGCTTTGCATCACAGAAATTAATTATATATATATTCAAATAGAAAACAGTTATTTTAAATATTAATAATTTTTCACAATATTACAGTTTTTCTGTATTTTTGTCCTGAAAACCTGCCCTTGATTTCTGGTTTTCAGTGTTGTCTGCAGTTAGAGACAACTATATGGCACAAAAATTAACCCAGCACTCCTAAGTCTGACCAAATCAGCATTTCAAAACCAAAGATCAGATTCAAAAGCGTGATTTGTTCATTGAAATAGAGCTAAATTTCAGTCTGTACCTCACACAAAGCAACCGTACACAATAAATTTTTTTTGTTGGTGAATATTTTGGTGGGAAAAGATTTTCCTCTATTTGTGCATAATTGTTATTAATTGTGTCCAATTTACTCAATTCCTTAAGTTGTGGTTAAAGATGGAGATTATTGGAATGAGTAATAATTGTAGTTCTATCACAACAACTCTCTGAAGATTTTAGCATGGTAATGGATATATGACACTGTTAATGTATTTGGTCTTGGCAGAAAGATCTGCTACGCTGCTGCGGCTGAATTACTGCTGCTGTTGGTTATTGCTGTTGTTGTAAATGATTGCTGCTGCAACGCAAGTTCAGGAACGTGCTACTGCCAATACATACACCGATATGGTGCTGTGAGTAGTTAAAACATACTGCTGCTGCACAAATAGCATAACCCGTAGCAGATCTATACAGGTGGAGCTGGGGAAGGTGGAGGGTTTCAGAGGAACTCCGAAAGTGCGCTGTGAACTGTTCTAGTGAATGTTAACCAGCCATTTAAATGTAAAGCATTACATTACTCATCATCGTGTACTAAGACTAACGGAAAAGGAAAAGTTGCTATTTTCTAGGCCGATATGGCTAGGAACTCTACTCTCATTCCGGCGTAATAATCAAGGAACTTTGCTGCCGTACCATGGGTGCAGCAGGCGCAATGATATTACGCAGCGCCTGAAAAATAGGCTAACTTCCGTCAACATAACCAACGTGACCACCTGCTTGCACAGGGAGCGTGCTGGGGACTATTTTCAGGCGCTGCGTAATATCATTACGCCGGAATGAGAGTATAGTTCCTAGCCATATCGGCCTAGAAAATCACAACTTTTCATTTTCCGTCGGTCTTAGTACACGATGTAACTACAGAAGTGTCAAGTTTTAAATAGGAAAAATATAGAATTTTTTTGTCATTTTTGAGCGAGATGCTAACGGTCTAATCAGATTCAATTATCTATGCTAAGCTACAGCTAAAAGTGCTACCGCCAGACCCGGAGATCGGCTGAATGGATTTGAAAATGGTAAAACTCAACTGTTTAACTCTAGGGGAGTCGGAAAATGAGCCGATTTTCAAAAGTAGTGGAGTGTTCCTTTAAGTCCGTTCCTGGTTACAGGCAGGTGATTTTGATCAGGGTTGACTCTAAACTCTAAAGGGCCCTAGAATCATGGTGGTGAGTGTTTCTCTATAGAGGAAATGTATTTTTGAGATTTCAAGCAGTGGATGAAACTGTATGTGCAAATGTTTCATGCAGTAGGCTACAGACACCTGTCTGGACGTTGAAAAGTATGTCTGGCCCGGCACGTACAGCCGGATTAGGGGATAACGATAATTGTGAAGATTTCTGCGATTCAACAGTCCAGTGATTCAGGTTTTGGCAGCTTTTGGGTTCTTATTGCACAAACGGGAAGCATCGCCTCTGGACAGGATTCTCTTTTCTCCTGTGCCATTCTGCTTCTTTTCTTCTTTTCTCGTTTTTTGCTCTACGTCACAGCACTCCTTACGCGCTTCTGCTACGTTTGAGTTTTCCTTTCTTTCCTTCGGCTGTGAGCTCGCCCCGAGGCCCTTATAGCCAAATTGGTTTACATTGGGGAGATAAATGCTCTGCAAATGCGCTTAAACACATACAGTAAAAATGCAGACAGTGCGTATCGGGATTACCGACCGAGTCAGAAGGCGGAAAGAGAGCCGCTGCTCGCCGAGTCTGTCTCATCTTTCAGGAAGAGCAGAGGAGGATTTAGCATATCCTTGCCTGTCAGTAATTCCTGGAATTATATAATGCCGTGGCAACAATAAAAGTCCGGCGGTATTGTGAAAGTATTGTTTTGCAGGGCCGGCAGATCGAGTCGTCGAGCGGGTCAAATGGAAGGGTAAGACTGTGCGCCGCTTTGCAGAGTTTTCAAGTGAGAATCCTGTCGAGTGGAATTATGGGGGATCTGCTTTAAACCTCTGAAGTGAGGAAGGAATTTCTGCTGAGCGGCTTCTTCTGTTGTCTTAGCGCTGAGAGCGGTGGAGGAGTTTGATGTTTCAAGTTACTCCTACAGAATGTTTTGCAAAAGTGGTAGCGTTCAGTTACTCGGAGATAAATGCTCTGCAAATGCGCTTAAACACATACAGTAAAAATGCAGACAGTGCGTATCGGGATTACCGACCGAGTCAGAGAGCGGAAAGAGAGCCGCTGCTCGCCGAGTCGGTTTCATCCACTCTCAGGAAGAGTAGAGGAGGATTTAGCATATCCTTGCCTGTCAGTAATTCCTGGAATTATATAATGCCGTGGCAACAATAAAAGTCCGGCGGTATTGTGAAAGTATTGTTTTGCAGGGCCGGCAGAGCGAGTCGTCGAGCGGGTCAAATGGAAGGGTAAGACTGTGCGCCGCTTTGCAGAGTTTTCAAGTGAGAATCCTGTCGAGTGGAATTATGGGGGATCTGCTTTAAACCTCTGAAGTGAGGAAGGAATTTCTGCTGAGCGGCTTCTTCTGTTGTCTTAGCGCTGAGAGCGGTGGAGCAGTTTGATGTTTCAAGTTACTCCTACAGAATGTTTTGCAAAAGTGGTAGCGTTCAGTTACTCTTTTTTTTTGTCTGAATTTAAAGGTGAACTCTGTCATATGAGGAGCCTAATAATTACATTGAGCGGGTCGCCTCTTGGGGGCAAGCATGTTGAGATCACATGACCAGCTGAACACTACTCATTGTGTCTTTGTAACCACTGTTATCGGACAATTTTGCATGGAATAAATGATTCTCAGTGAATAGGGTATTTTTTTTACAATGGCATCAGTAACTGCTTTTATTGATTGTACCTTTAAAACACATGCAAGAAATCTGTCATATCATGAGAAAACTATTTTTTCTTGTGCTTATTTTTTGTGCTACATTACATCACTTTCGTCCCATGTGCTCCTACCTTGAAAAAATGTTGAGCACAAAGAATTTTAGGGGTGCAATGAAAATTATTTAAAAATGTTAATAAAGGGATGCGTTGACTATTTTTTTTAACTGTTTCAAACTGTATTCATTTAATAATTCTGGAATTGTTAAAAAATGTAAACATTTAATACAGTTTGTTGTAACCAAAATACCAATAATATACAGAGAGAAAAAAATGCTCTGCATAATGCAAGGGTTTTAATTATAATAAGCCTGAAATACACTGGGACTCTTATTTTGAAATGTCTTTACTACTTGTAGCTGATTATTCAAACAAATGAGGGAGTTAATATGCTGTCTTAAAAACATCTAAAACATTGCAATATAAACACCATAAAGTAATGCAAGTCTTTTAAAGGACAAACAGGACCTACTTTTTATTCACGCATATACTCCTAAATGCATTTTACAGTTTGCACACATCTATCTTTAGTCACAAAGATGATTGAAATGCTGGTACTGTTGGGCTCTGCTTCCTCCCCTCTCCAAAATAAGCATATATAGTAAAACTGCCTTGGAGTTTTGTTACATTAGATAAATACATTTAATACAAGACCGCCAACATTGATATGCAAATAGCTCCTGTTAAAGAGGATATTGCTTGATACAATTATTCCCAAACACCAGAAGAACCAACGATAGAAGTAAAAAACAAACAACAAAAAAACAGTTTTGTAGCAGCA